CCGGCATTAAAATTCCAACTTAATTTTTTTGGACCACTCTAATGTAGGCGTGATAAAAATATAGCAAGGTAGAACCGTTCTCTCAATTTTTTTTTCATATAAAATTGAAAATAAAAAATTTAAATGGTTCGAAATTGTTGTTGCTTGAGAATGAAAACGGAAATGTGTGTGTAAGTTTGTGAGTAAATTGAAAAATTAAATTGCTTAGAAACTTCAAGCATATTAAAAGTGCCTCTCATCTGTTTTGCCTTAGTATATTTTTATCATGTATGTAGGTATACATACATATACTATAAATTAATTTTGACTTACCCTAACATGAAACATCATACGAAAATCACATTTTGATTAAGCCATTATTGTGAGATTTTAAGACACATTTTGACTGCATTTTGAAAAAGTTTTTAATTTCAACGCACAGTATTTTATTGGCAAGTTCTCATTTCAGCATATATATGCAATTTTTAATATTAACCAATTTTTGTTGAATATACAGATTCACAATTTACTGCACTTCTTATTCTTAAATGGCAGCGGAAGTAGTAAAATAGCACATATTTCATTTCTGTAAACTAATATTTAGAAAATGCATATCACAATATGTTCCCACCATTATTGCGCACTTTTCTGGCAGAATTTGATAATTTTTTTTTTTACTTTGTACATATATGTATGTATATCGCTACCTTAAATCCCAAAGGCCCTAACCAACACTTTTTTCGAAACTGTGTTTATCACAGATTTCGGTAGGACATATTAAAATACATCTTCATAAAAAATAAAAAAATTTNCTACCAAGTCAAACTATCTAATGTGAAAATGGGTACTTCTCAGGAGAGCACAAAGAAACTGTTGAAAAAAATGTTTTGCTGTCATTAGGAAAAAGTGTGGGATTTGAGACTTTGTTAAAGCCGATTGAGGATTTTCCAATTTGCGTATCACTCCAAATGCATACGCAAGGTATCGTAATTGAAAAATAATTTTCGCACATTCGATAGTTTGACATGGTAGCGACGATATGTATGTACATACATATGTGTCAAAAAAACTTCGCAAATGCAAGGAACGCCGGTATCTTAATCTTCATTGCATATCTCTTGCCTGCGAAGTTGTTCCACACCCGTTTTGCCAAAACTATTGCACTTTTAATTTAATTACCACATTGCACATAGGCTCTAACAAATCAGTATTTATATGAAACTTTTCTTATAAGCAAATAATCACTTAATTATGCAAATTTTTTTCTTTTTCCATAAAAACACTGCATAAGCTCAAATGAATTAATTTACCGCCATAACGAAGTGTCAAACGACGGCGAAAGAGGAAGAGAACACGGAACTGAACTAACTTCCGTTTCTTTTCTTTGCACACGCATCACCCTGTTTCATTTAATAAGTTGCCAGAAATCTGGTTTTTTGAGCTAAGTGTCCACTGCTTTATAACAAATTTTTAATATTTTTATTTTTAAAGGAATTATGATAGAATTATTTAAAAAATGATGTTAGTTACAGGATCAAATAGTTTTATTTTTTTATTTTTACATCTAAACCTTTAAACACTGTGCAAAATGGCAGCACCGGTTACCCAGATGAGCAGCAGCCGACTTGACGTAAATTGCAATTTTGTGCGGTTATTACGCACACATATTCCATTTTTGCATAAATTTTTTTATTGTTAATTAAAAATAAAAGATAAGCTCGAGATTCGAAACGCAAAAATAGTCTGTAATAAAAAACAACGAAGTAATTTCAGTGAGAAGCAGTAATCCTCGCAGTGAAAATGGCAGAAAATAAACAAAACGACAAGAAAGAATTGGATGATTTGCTTGACAGTGAGTCCAATGTGCACCGCCGTCATATTCTGGGCGTTTTAAATTATATAATATAAAATGAGTCAAAATTAATAAAAATTTGATTTCTTATTTACATATCCACAGATGCCTTGCAGGATTTCGATAAGAACAGCACATCCGCCAGCACAGGAGATGCCAGCAAAAATGTTGCTGCAAATGGGGCGGTGGTGGGCACTCCAGCTGATGCCGAATCCGCCGCAGATCCCGACGCATTTTTTATGTAAAATTATTAATTATGAAATCACAATTTGATATTTGCATTTAAAGTTTTTAATTTTTTACACAGTGAGCAGGCAAATGTTTTAGCCGAACGCATGCAAACCTTGTTTGGCGGTCCCAACACGCCTAGTGGTGAACTACCGCCGCTGCCACAAGATCCAGATCAAATTTTGGCTGGATTCAAAAAAATGGCTGAAGCGGCAGCTATGACTTTGCAGGGCGAAAATCCAGCAAGCGATGAAGAAGTGGCCAAATATTCTGATAGTATAGCACAAGCTCTCAAGGTGTGTGTGTGTGTGTACATATTTGATGATGTGGGAAAAGCACCTGACACTTGAACTAATAACATGCTAATTGCTTATTATCATTTTAATTTTTTATTTTTTTAGGGCCTTCAAGAAGGCTCGGAAAATTTAAGTGCACCCGTTTCTGAGACTGATGTCGCTAGCATGTTTAGTGGGCTCAATTTAGAAAATGTAAATTTTGGAAGATTTTTTTCTCTTAGAATGATACTGAGTAGGCTTTTAATTTTTGTTTAGCCCGGAGAAGGTGATAACAACATGTTCCTACCGTTCATGGAAGGCATGATGCAGAGTTTACTGAGCGCGGAAATATTGCTGCCAAGCATTAAAGAGTTGGTGGCAAAGTATCCAAAATATTTTGAAGAGCATGGTGACAAAATTGGCGCTGAGGACCGAGAGAGGTAACAGACTGTATAAATTCGTGTAGCACGTTTATAATTAATTATATATGTACATATGTATCTCAGATATGAAAAACAACTGGAACTATACAAAGTGCTCGAGAAGCAATTAGAAGCAGAGAAACCGGAAGATTCAGCAGCTGTTAAACGCGACAAATTCAAAGTCGTTCTCGATCAGATGCGCCGATTGCAAGAATTTGGAAACCCGCCCGACGAAATTTTGGCTGAAACAGCCGGTGATCTTCCCATACTGGATCCAAATTTAGCCGGCGGTGCTGCAGGAGCTGGAGCGNTGCGGAAATATTGCTGCCAAGCATTAAAGAGTTGGTGGCAAAGTATCCAAAATATTTTGAAGAGCATGGTGACAAAATTAGCGCTGAGGATCGAGAGAGGTAACAGACTGTATAAACTCGTGTAGCACGTTTATAATTAATTATATATGTACATATGTATACCAGATATGAAAAACAACTGGAACTATACAAAGTGCTCGAGAAGCAATTAGAAGCAGAGAAACCGGAAGATTCAGCATCTGTTAAACGCGACAAATTCAAAGTCGTTCTCGATCAGATGCGCCGATTGCAAGAATTTGGAAACCCGCCCGACGAAATTTTGGCTGAAACAGCCGGTGATCTTCCCATACTGGATCCAAATTTAGCCGGCGGTGCTGCAGGAGCTGGAGCGAACCCACAGTGTCCAATGATGTAGAGTGTGGGCGTCATTTTAATAACATCATACGTGTAGCTGGCATCAAAATTGCTGGCAAGACGACATGAAAATATCTGTGACGAAGCAGCAATTTTTATATCAATTAGTAGTATTTAGACATTTTTATTTGACAAGAGCATCTTAGTTATTGAGGCAGGTTCTGTTATTTCACTATGCTGTAATTCCGAATGAATATGAGCAAATTTCGCTTTAATTTCAAATTGGCAGGAGTTGCAATTTACTTGGAGTGAATTGCAGAACCTGCCTGATTGTTTTTGACGATATTTTATTTTATTTGCATTATTAATGTTCTTTTTGATTTTAATTTGTTGAATTAATTTAGGTATATCATTTACTGGTTTGATGCAAAATATGAAATACTAACAAAAAAAAATATTTATTTTCAATGTTTTTGAATGAAAAAATTACCTTGTATTAAAAACATAAATAATTTGATAAAAAGTTGTAAGTTAATTTTATGAAGAGAGAAATGCAGATGCACATTTCATTTATTTGGGACTCATTTTACATTTTGCAAAAAAGAAAAATGTTACAAGCAAAGCCTAACTTTACAAAAAGAAACGACGTCGGGAGGACTCCATAGCATGCCTCTTGTTAGTTATTATCCAAGCGTAGTCACCCGTTTTGCTATCGAACAAACCCTCTTGTAGCGAACGCAGTTTCAATGTAAAACGTGGCCCCATTTCACGCAAATTCACCCTTTTGCCCTCCTTTGTGAACTCATAGCGATGATGTCTGAAAAATATATAATCACGTTGATTATGAAAAGTTACTGCACGTCGACCTTTAAACTCAGGATCATGATGGAAAAGCGCACCCAGCATGCGACCCACGGTGAGACCCAATCTTGTGGTAAAATTAGTCAATATGACTTCAGGTCGATGTTTCGTTATCTCTTTATGACTACGCTTAATATCCGAAGTTAGTTTAACATTAGACAATTTGAAATGTGCTGTCGGTCCATTTGGTAGATGTATGACAAGCAGGCCATTAGGTTTGCGCCGATCCTCATTTATAACTACAACATCCGTATATTCTTCGCGTATAGCACTTTTGCATATATTTTTTACAGAAGATCTATTTCGTATTTTAACCAATGCATTTGGAAAAATTCGACTTAGTTCCAGGCCAAATTTTCTTGTCTTTGTTACTGGATTATCGGCGTAGGTTATCAGTACTTTCGGCTCGTAACTACGCTGAAAATAAGTACTGAAATCGTCCATCTCCAATTCACGACGCAGCTCCTCGTTATCAGAGTCATCTAAATTGGTCACTGTCGTTTGATCCTTTTCTCGTAAGCTTTCTATGGTGTGTCCCGGATTAGCAGGCAGGCCAGCTTTGCGGCGCGCGCGTCTCTCGTGCATTTTCTGTTTATGTTTCTCTTTTTTCATTTTACGATACAGTGCCATGCGTTGGTCTTTGTTTTTAATCAGTGCCAAAGGATTTATAACGGGCATACGAACTTCTGGTTCAATTTCTTCATCATCACTCTTTTCTTCGGCATCACCATCATTATCAGTCCCACCATCACTGGCATCATCTTTATTCTCATCTTCGCCCACATCTTTACTTTCATTTGCTTCTTTATTCTCATTGTCATCAGCATCCATATCTTCCTCCACGTCGTCATCACTACTGTCACTTCCATCCTGCTCGGGAACTTTAGCTGATTTGCTGTCTTTGGACGGCTTCTTCGTCTTGCTGGTTGTAGGAAGCTCCTGCTCTTCGTCACTTGAGGCGTCACTGTCTTCTTGCGCTTCCATCTGTTGTGGTTCCTCCTCGTCAA